AAATATATTTCAACCGGTAAAAACCGGTGAAAACCGGCCGGTGGAACTGCTTCAACCGGTCCGGTCCGGACCGGTTTCGCCGGACCGGTTACAACTCTGATATATATCACTCGAGCATTTGCTCTTTCTCTTCTCTTTGCCCGAGATATCAATGCGATCTAGAAACCAACACGTCGCTTCTTCTTACTTTCTCTTTTTCTTCGATATATCGCTTCGTTCTGCTTCTCTTTTGATCTACATATCGTTTGCACATTCTCTTACAATTGTTAGTATGTCTTATCTCTTTACATAATTTATATTTTCACAAAAAAGTGCTCAAGTCAAAATTTAGTGTCAATCCTGCTAGTAGCATTTGCAGAAGCACCTTTTAGGTGTGGGTATGAATATAGCAAATGTCCACATCTACACTTTGCATTCGAAAGATCACTGTCATGACTATATTTAGGCCAAATGTCTTTAGAACTCAATTTAAAACAGCTAAGATATTGTCTGCTCATTGACAATATCTGTTCAAGAGAACATGCTAATTTTTAGTAAGATAGGTTTTTTCATAATAACTTTGGTCGATTCTTCTGAAAATTTCTCTAGACGATTCGGATCAGACGACAAGTCTTTTCTGAGATATTCAGCACTATTGAACTAAAGAAAGTCGAATTAGCATTACGACATGAGCTTCCTATCTCAGAATGTGGCGATTATCAAAATGCAGATCTTGACTCACGAGTTTTGATGATCATAAAGTAAACATATGCAAATGTCATTAGTACTAGAAAAAAAACGGTAATCGCTTGTGGACTAGCAAAATGAATAAATTCAATATATGTGTCTTTTTGAAGGACGTATTGATACTTCCAATTCGTATTTATTGTCACATAGATGCATCAAAAATATCAGTTTCATATTCAAATGTACAAATTATTAATCTTTCAAATACGATAATTTTAACATGTTAATCCATTGTTCTTGTATGTTAATGAACATCTTTCATGAGATATATACAGTTAGAATTTAGAGATATTGTAATGGATATATAGTATCATTGTAAGATTTTTTTAATGGGGTGTGGGTGCGGGTGTGTTTCTTCTATTCATGCACACCCACACCCCACACCCACACCCACCCACACCCACACCCA